ACCCAAGAATATCACCAAGCTCAGGAATGATTGGATATCCTCGAGCTCTGAAATAAATGGAATAAAACTGAACACCAAAATTACCAAAATAACCTTATGGCCTAAACTAAGTAAATACCTTGGATTAATTAAGGAATCCAAATAAGCATAGGTATTGGACTACCTTTAAAAGTTATGGAACATAACTTAAGTGAGCCGATCAACCTTAATAATATGTCAGTACATGAACGACATAGATATTACTTGAATGCATGTTCGTCTACTCAAGTTTAGCTCAATGATAATTTTGGAAGTATTCAGCTCAGCTCAACTCTAGATTGCATTCGGTACTAAGAATTGGATATTTGTTCGACAAATCAACAACGAAGACCAAAATGAACTGAACAAAAGTACAATATGTATCTGAAATTCAGAAATGTACGGAATTACTCTGAAAAATCCCGAAGTAACTGGAATAGACTTGAATGCTAAATGAACTAAGCAACCTCAAGCACTAAGGATTAAGTAAGTGATGTGAATGAGTCTGGAAACGTTAATGAACATACACAATGTACTGTTCTTCTGGATCATGAATTACAAATCAAGCACGTCAGTATTTCATGATATATTGGAAGCGTAAAAATAAAATAAAGACATTGTAAGATCTATTTAGTGATGATTCCAAAAATGATCTATGGATAAGAGTTTGTGGTATTAAAGAGTAAATACCCTGGAAGAACAATGAATTGATTAATCGACAAGCATTAATTTTGGGAGCTATTCATTTAAGAGTTGTTTGATAATCCGATCAATCGACATAGATTGTAAATGTCCTGAATCTTCATTTCTTCCTTATAGCTCAAGTCATATTCTGAATAATTGATGATTTTATCAATTATTGAACTCTTCCAATAGTGATTCTGAATTCCGATATTCTATCGGTATACTGAATAACTGTGTTTCTCTGCCTGATACAGTACCTCTAAATAATACCTGTAAACTCTGGTGTGTTCCCTAATTATATAAATATTTTATCTGATTTCCGAATTGAATTCTGTTCTGATACGTTGTCTGAATTCTGTTCTGATTCTGATCTGGATTCTGTTCTGATATCTGATATGAATTCTGTTTTGATTTCTGATATCTCCGTTTACCGACGGAGAAATGTTTTATCTGGGGGGTTTATTGTTGGAGGAAGATTACTGCAGGCTCCTCGGCTGTGTGCTCAGGGCCTTACTGTTACTGGTTGTGCGGGGTGTATGGTTCCGGGGAACCTACACAATCAGATTGTGAAATGATGGGGGTGTATATATATATGCTTTAAAAAAATATGTATCTTTTTACTAGTTTTATAGGAACACACTAGATAACCTGTTCTGATCTCCTGAACTCAGTCATCCGAAATATTTCTCTGACCTGAGAGCTCATTTTCCGTTACCACCTGAAATATTAGTAGGATCTCTGCTCAGCATAAAAATCTGTAAATGTTCGGAAACAATAAGGAAATATATATTTATCTCTATCTGCACGTTCATCAGCATCATCTGGTAGTTCTGTATTACTGAGCTTTCCAAAGCTCACTCTATTACTCACATTTTCAGGTTAAAAGAATTGTACCAGTGCAGCTATCGACATCAGTAAGGGAGTTCTTCCGGCGTTGTTACAGAGTATGGTACATATGATTAGGGGGCATGTAATTGTATTTTGATTTATATATGAGTCTAGACGTCTGTTTTATTTTTAAATAGTGACAACTGATTTTATAAGTTACACGTTTCAATAAAAGTTTTAAATTTTCCGCTATTTTTACAGTGGGTCGCTCCGGTGGCCCAAATGTGACTTCCCGGATCGGATCAGGCTACCCGCATCAGTCTGGGGGGTTACATTCTATTTGTGAAATTAATTATATTAATTATTTCCACTTGTATTCGGGTGTATAAAGCTCATGCGACCTCAAATACCAAATCTGAACACTTGAGTCAACTAGCAAAAATTGCCCAAGTCATGACAAGGGTATTAACATTATACCATCAGTATCGATACTGGCCCTTGGGTATCGATACTCAGGGTGAGTATCGAGACTAAGAATAACTTTGATGTTTTAAAAAATGTCTCGATACCGAAACTCCTATGGGGAGTATCGATGCTTACCCTTAGTATCGATACTCCTATGAGTATTTATATCGAAAATGACTACTGGAATCCTAAACTTGTATCAATACCACCCCTTGAGTATCGACACTTGACCACGAGTATCGATACTCTTTGAACGTGTATCGATACTACCCTTACAAAAACCCTTATTTTTATACTTCGTAGAGAACAATATCGGTACTATTCCTCTATTACTGATACCGATGACTGGAGTACATTGTTTTATGCACGAACTTATATCTCAATCTCACCCATTCACTCTCCAAAGGCTAGCAAATGTTATTAGAATCTTATTTAGGGTCTTAGTGGTCATAAGTAGTCACCTTTAATGCTTACAAACATTAAATGTAAAATTTACCATATATTTACTCTAGCATGCTTCATGAGCTACATAACCCATATATGCACATTAATAACCTACATGTGTTATAGACAAGTTATAAACATGTTACATTGATGCTTAGCTGTTAAAAACGTCCTTAACTCACCCAAGAACTAGTTTTTCCTTACCCTTTGCCTTGGAGCTCTTTCCTAGATCTTTCACTAAACAAACAATGAAAATGAGTTGTTAACTCACATTGGGTCTTTGGATAAAGCTAAAAACATTTCCTTACAGCTCAAATCCTATAAAATGAGCTAGAACCTAAGGTTCCACAAACCCCCACTAAAACACGTTTTTGGATAACTAAGCCAAATCTTGCAAGTAGGCTTGGATGATGTGGAGTGTAGTTCTTACCTTGAAATTCTTAGAGGATGCTTGTGCTTCTTAAAGCTGCTAACTTTGCATTGCCTCTTGAAGAAGAAGAAGAGAGATGAAGAGTGGAGAGGAAGACACAAAGGTTGAGGTGAACAAGAGAAGAAGATTCAGACAATGATATAATCAATAATTAAGAGAATTTAACCTTTGATTTGAAAAATGGTTTATTTGCTCATTTACCCCTCTATATTTGGTTCATGATTAAAGACACCCTTTCTTATGGCTTAATGGGCTCAACTCAAGCCCAAGAACAAAATTCTTGGACCAAGGCTCCCTTGCAACTAATGAATTTATCTAAATTATGGGTTTTGCATTTAATTAGTTTTAAACCACAAAATTATTTATTTTGAGAGGATTTATTTTGGTTGTTCTCAAGCCATGGCTAAACAAATAATCTCCTTCTCACCACGGTCCTGAATCAACAACAAACACATGATTTTAAAACCGTTTTCTGGTTCCAAGCTTTGGATTCTATAGAACAGAATTCTGGTTATTTCATAGCTATCCATAAAAGAAAGCAAAAAAAAAAACAACCTTCAATTGTTGTATATTTCTTCCAATCTTATTTATATTTATCTTTAAAGATAAAAAAGAAGGATAGAGCTTGAAGGAAACGTATACAACAGAGAAAGATTTACGGTGGGGGGTTTGGGGTGGGGAAGAAGGGTAATTTCGGCAGTGTATTTATTTTATTTTATTAATTGATTTTTATTTATTTAGATAAAAAATAAAAATTAAGAAGTGACGTGACGTGTTCTGATTGGCCCGTGAATTTTTTTTTTAACATAATTAATGATTTGGACTAAATAGAGTAACGTTTATAGTTGAGGGAGCAAAACGTCCTAAAAAATATTTTATGGGAAACTTTGTAAAAATGGTATAGTTCAAGGGGCAATAGGGCATTTAAGCCTTAAATGAACATAAAACTTTTGATTATACTTCATTTAATAAATGAACGTTATACGAACGATTCATAAATAATTCGTCGAATGCTCTGTTACACCCTACATGTGTCTCGACATATTTATCCAATGCATAGCCAAAGTTTTTATTTGAAAGGAATGCATATCCAAAGATGATAATATACAATAAGTACATGTTTTGCACACGGTGCTTGGCAGATTGTAGTTAGAATCTTACTGCATTTATTTTTCAAAAGTAAGACTTTCAAGATGATAATATATGTGAAATTAGTGTTGAAATTATTTTCGGATTATTCAATTTTTATTAAAATATATTTTGTTTCCATACCCTTTTTTAACCTAAAAATAATTCACCAAATCCACTGAAGCTGAAGATTATAAAACGATAAACAACTTGCCATATTTTACTGCAGAACTCATGGGAGGGAAAGAGTTTTGAGAAGTGAGCAAACCTTAGTTATTGGCTTTTACTTTACATAGCCAGAGACACAAAAGGAAACATGAGAAAGATAATAGACAAACCAAACAATAAAGATAAGAAAAACTAGTAATAATATATCAAAATCATTTACTGTACATAAGTTAAACATCATGTACAAAGAACAATCACTTTATTGGATTCTGCTTGGCCTGGTTTTTCACCATTTTTGAAACAAAAAAGCCCCTATCCATGAATCTCCATGTCTTAAAAGAACCAAGAAAACACAAGCAAAAATGGTGGTGGGGAGTGGGGACACCTCCAAATGTTCAATCGATGTTTTTTTTCCATTGTAGTCCTGTACCTGATGCTTGTTAGTTGTCACGACCTGATCTGTAGGATTTAGGAACATGTATAATTTGGAATCATCATTTTTATATCACGTGTATTTTTAAGGTAATATATATTTAGGATTTTTTAAGTTTTTGACAACGTAGTAGGTATCACGCAGACATATATGTTTGTATCCAAAATTTCTAAACAAAATAATATTCTCTTTTATGATCACTTAATGAGTTGAACTCAAAAAATTTAAACTCACAAAACTTTAAGAAACTTATAAACATCTAAAGACGATAACTTCAGATTGAGTACATGGTCGAGCACGGTGAAAATCTTGATGCCAAGCATTTTAATGGATTCTAAGCGTGAAACAGAGTGGACAGAAGAAGAAAGTAGCTTTTTTTTGTCTGGGGAAATTCTTGAAGTACATGGTTTATGATCTTCTCAAGGGAAAACGAACATATTTAAACAAAATTCTCCAACGATGATCATCAGCAGAAAGCTTCAGGAGTTTCATTGCCTTTGGCACCTAGGTTCGACCTGGCGGTTGTCTTGACTTTGATGCTCTCCTGAAACACATAATTTCAAGAAGAAAAATAATGTATATATTTTTCAAATTGAGTGCAACTGTATCGAAAATATACTTGTATTTCGAGTCCGGATAATACAGATTATGCTCTCATATATACTAATTTGAATTCCATTGTAAAGGGGACTGTGAAATGCAACTTTTCTTTGATATAAAGTGGGTTAGTACTTCCCCTCTCTTTATTTATTTCGTTATCAAAATAAGAGAAAGATTGGTTTAAAGAAGCTTTTCTAAAAGAATAACACCATCACCAACTTTCATGCATTTGAACTGCAGATTTGATCTTTTTTCTTGCATTTGCATTTCTGTATTATTATATACAAAATGAACCCATTCTACACTTCTTCCCTCCCCCATTTCCCAAAAATCAGCTGGAAAAAAAAAACAGAAAGAAAATGAATAGTTGGAGCAATCGCCTGATCGTGCATGCCAGGTTGATAAGTAGTTCATGTTATACGAGGCAAGAACAAGTACCTGTTGTGAATAGGATCGGGTCCGTTAGGGACTCTTCTCTTGCTGACGTAATTGAAATGGAAATCCTGATGATAATTAAGCTTCCCTTTCCCAGCAAATTCCAAGTGTTTGAACTCTCGAGTTGAGGAAACCGTTGTCGGCTTAGTCCTCGCGATTGCTCGGTTCCCTGCGATGCAGACGAACAATAACCAGACAACTCCCACAAGCACTGCAACTCCAAACAAAAACTTCAAAGCTCTACCACTCTTCCCCATACTCTTTCTGCTGTTTTCAACGAAGAATTTACAGGCCATTAAAGAGAGAACTAATAGCAAACATGTTGCGATTTAGGGGAGGGATGGGAAAGCAGAAGTTCAAAAACTTGGCGGTTTAAGAAGTCATATGTGATATTTAAAGATGTAAGAGTAAAGCAGCACTGTATTTTTTTTGTTTTTGGAATAAATTTAAAACAGAAAAGTTTGTTGTCTTGCCATTGTTGCTTTATATATCGAAATGGGTCCATGGGAGCTCTCTTTGGTTTCGTGGATTTTCATGCAACAAGCAAGCCAGACATGGGGGGCTCCCGAAACAAAAGAAGAATCTAATTAAACAAGTATATATATGTTGCTATATATACACAAAGTGTGGCGAGCTAGTAGAGACAAGAAGGGTTCCGCTCCATTAATCATCCATGAAAATGAGAAAATTCGAAAGCCAAAGGCATTAAAAAAATCATCACCCAACTGCGTATACTAACATTGTTGTTTTCTTACTCTCTGAGTATATAAAATGGCTGTGCCTTTTTTCCATATGTATGGGGTAAGGGGAGGTAAGATAGTAGGCTACCCCCAACACCAGGTTGAGAGCAGCTTCCGTAAGAGACCTCCGAATTATGAAATGCCCTCCGTGGAACTCGATCCCACGACCTCAAAGTTAAGAACCTTGTGCTCTACCAACTGAGCTGGATGGTCATTTCAATGTTCTCAACCCTTCAAAATTTCCGAAAAATTCATCATTGGTATAATATTAAATATGGGATATGATTTTCTAAGGAAATACTTGACTAACATATATTCATATCTAATACTTGACTCAAAAAAAAAATAGTTACACCTCAGTTTGAGAAATATAACTCTAAAATGTTAATGCTGTTTTCTCTAGGCAGAGTGGCAATCTTAGAGATGGCAATGGATAATATGAATTGCAGATATTTGTAAATCAAACAGCAGGAGATACAATTTTGACAAAAGAAAATCACATACGAGATGTTGAAGCTCATTTTATCAGAACAGAATATTAACAGATAGCGGGCAAATGGTAAAGTTTCTGGGAATTCCACATGAAAGCATAATTCATCAGTTAATGTAACTTCAATACAATTTTGGCAAGTGGTAGACATTTTGGAAGTACAGTTAGTAACTTTTGTCAAAGGTACATCAATTAATGGAAACGGCGTCGTTTTCAGCAGGCACGAAAAATGACTTCGATTCTCTTGTCGGAGATTTGCGGGAATTTCGTTTCCATGATGCATGCTTGTGCTTGCTTTCTTTTCAATAATACATGTTTGTGTTGGGGGACAATTGATTCTTTCAATCATGTGAGAAATGAGATATTCTGCAAAACAATTCTCTTAAAATATTTGTGATTAACACTCATTTTTAATGCTATTATATATTTAAATCAGATATAAATATAAAGATTTAATCTTTTAAAAGAACTCTAAATATTAATATCAAAACACAGACTTTATACATCAAATTCGAAAATTTTATAATTATATGATAGAGCAGGCCCCCAGCAGAGGATTTTTATTTACAAAATCACTCAAATGGATACCCACCGAGGCAATCATTAAAGTGAGTTCTTCATTAAATATAGAAACAGACGAGACACAGTGTTAACTCTAATTAATTAAAAAAAAAGACAGCTTCCCAAAAGAAATGTTTGATTAATATAACGAACATTAGCTTCCCAAAACATGGTTTAATGGTACTAATGCTTTAACCAGATTAGACATCTTGACTGTCCACTATTTTGTCCCCTTCAAAAAAAAAATCTTCCTTTTATAAAAGATAAAAACAAAACCAAACCAAACCCACACAAAAGGAAAAGGGAAAGAAGAACAAACCACCTTTCAACTGGACCCATGTTTCTTGATTTTGATGTGAATTTTGAATACAGTTGTGTCAAATACGAATATGTTCAACTTCCATAACTTCTCATATAAACGACGAGATTGTTAAAGGAACATACCTATATTTAAAGATGTGATGGACATAAATATTTCAAACGAAAAAAAGATTACGGATATGTAGTGGATCGCTCTTCCCCTGCTGAATGGAACATTTGGCTTCAGGGACCAACAGATTGTAGGTTCAAAAATAATGTTCTTTAACAAAACAGCATGCTTCCAATGTCATAATTTGTAACTCAAACATATTGAAGTGCATATGCAACACACTACAAGCTATAATAACATAATTGGTAACAAGAGATCTAATATCTTTGCTAAGTTCAACTATCTTAAACTAAGCAATATATACCACGTTACTAGGCACTTTTTTTTTTTGATAGAAGTTGGAGGTCTCATTAAAAACTCCCTTCGTATTCGTTCACATACTAAAAGTATGTTAACGAACATTGGAAGGAAGAAAAGAGTACCTCAAATTTTATTGATAATAATACCCGATATAAAAGACACCACGAAATATCCTCTCATGGTGATGTACACTATTACAACAAACACCTTAACCCTATATAACCTCATCCAAAGCCACAATCTAATCACCTTCTAATTACGCCACTAGCAGTAGGATTAAAACAACGCAACAGAACATAATACAAATTAAAAGCAATACCTACAACCATATAGATAAAAACAAAACCACAATTGAAGAGACAAGATCTAATGAGACTCGTATTCTTCAGGAGCCCAAGAGTTTGGTTTGAATGAAGGCTCTATCTCATGCACCATGACCTTGAAGAAGTTGTCACCAACCTTCAATTCCACCATCGCATCAATTCTCGCATCAGCCTTTATGAGGACTTGAATTTTTGCCCGATCAAAAGATGATGGAGACTGACAACTTTCGTCGATAGCTAGTAATAAACCCCACTTATCAACAATGTTCTTGAAAGTATCCCAATTCCATGCGTGAAAAGGAACACCCTCGCAAACTAACCATACTCGACGACACTCCATTACCAAACTCTCTGACCAAGCTTCGACTATGGAGAACCACTCTGCGAGAATATTTGATTTATTGTTCTTCACACTTCTCAATGAAGCATTGTCTTCGAAAATCATTAAAATCGCATTACCAGCAGCTCTCATTAAGGTAAAGCCAGTGAGGCCCTTCGCTTGCATTTGTCTAGCGAGATGACCAATTTTGACAAAGTCCTTGCACCTCCCCACTAGACAATTGCTCAACACCTGAAGTTTTTCTTCATCTATAACACCTTCAACTTTATAATGATTCCTCCTCGAATCATCTTCTATCCCGGACTTGCGAAGAACACCTAACGAGGACTTCCTCCAATAGGAATGTCGAGGTTTGAATTTAGCATAAGAAACGCCAACTTTGCTGCCATCGATACGAGAGCCATTCATTTTTGAGATCGCTCTCCTTGCTTCTTCAATAGTTGCATACCGAATAAACCCAAAACGGACCCCTTTCGAGTTTCTTTTTTTAGGAATGAAGGCATCAATAACATGACCATGTGTGCCAAAAATAAACCCAAGTCTCTTCCAATGGATCATCTCTGGAAGGTTTTCGATAAAAATCGTGAAACAACCATTTCTGATCCCATTTCCGATTCTTGGATGACCATCCTTCGACCAATTTTGAAACTCATTTTTTCTCCTTCTCGTTACTTCGGAAAACTTTTCATAAGAGTACCCTTTCATGAAGCTCTCCTTGGTTCCATCCTGAACAATATCAGCGATAGGTAAAGTTGGTGTTGTCTGCACTACAGAATTAGTTCCGAGCTTTTGTTTCCCTCCTTGAGAAGAAGACAGTCCATTGTCATCAATCCTACCAACAGAAGGGTGATAGTCTGAAGTAGCTTTAGCAGAGCAATTTTTCAAACGCCCGGTTGATAAAGGACTATCACCCAACCTCGCTGAAAATACTCTTGAATTTTGATGCTTTTGGGGCGAAGGCGATTGCCTGAAGGTAGTGCCGTCGGCCTCAACTGTCCAACCTGCCTCACGGGCCAAGGCGGCCAGTACATCGTTCATATTAGAACGCTCTGAGAGATGGAAATTACCAAACTGCCGCAATCCGGCCAACATACGTCTAGTGAAGGCTCGCCTGTTCCGTCTTCGGAGCTTTGTCCTTTCCTTTTCACTCTCCCTCTCACGTTTTTCCTTGCCGGAAAATGAAAAATTGATTGCATTGTCAGGTCCAGAGAAGTACTAATGGAGTTCACAGACGCTGCACCTGCCGCAGTTGTTGCAGCTAAACCACTAGTACGCCTGTGCTTAGACGAGCGTAGAGGTTCCATGGAGAGATCTGGGAAAGATGATTTACTGGAAAAACAGACAGCTTGGAGGATAGTGTAAGATTTCACCGAACCAGATGGATAGAACTGAGAAGTTGGGAAGAGGATTAACTGGAAAAACAGACAGCTTGGATAGGGTAAGATTTCACCGAACCAGTACACTGGAAATAGAACTGATTTTCGACACTAGGAAAGGGAGTTATGGTCGCGAGAAGAAGCTGAGTCCGGTGGTGAGGCGGTGACGACCACTAGCGGCGGGAAGAGGCGTAAATCGACGGTGAACTTCGAGCAGATCTGCGTCAATTGAATGTCTCAATCGCAAATCTAAAGCCAGATTTGGAATCACCTTGAGTCGGTGAACTTCCCAGGAGAAAAAAGCTTCAAACGGTGGTCGGAGTATGGCGGCGGCGGCAGCGGACGGCTGTCGGTGGCAGCGGACAATGGGTGGATGTCGGAGGAGAGAGAAAATTTTTCAAAAGACGCCTGGGCTATTGTAATTCGAAATTTGAAAACACCAAGGTTAGAGAGAAGCTGGAGCTTCTCTCACTAACACGTGACCTTTAGGTTATGGGTCAAACAGCCTCTTTGCAGTTTACGTTACTAGGCACTTCAATAATATAAGTTACATTACGAGTTCTTTTCAAAAAATTTATGCAAAATCAGCTCGACACACCATGGGATTAGGGCTCATACTGATCAAGCGGCAAAAGAAGCATAACGATACCAATGAAGCGATAGATCGAAAATACGACCCTTTTAAAAACTGCAGAGCAATACAAAACAATCCAAATGCATTCACCGGCATTTGACAAATGATAGCACTGGTTTCACAGAAAACTACCTTGAACGCTCGATACATCTGGTTTCAGAACAATTGAAGCATGCGGAATTTGGTGATAATTGAAAATGCTCCACCTTCGACTAGTAAACTTGTAGTTAAACTTTCTATGCTGTATTCTGAAGAGTCTTATCGGAATTTCTTTTCTTCTGTGCCCATTTGGGTCCATATATTGCTAAATGTGTCCGACCAAATCTTCGATCCTTGATCTGCATTATATTCTAACAAATAAATACAACAAGACTTGCTATGTTGCTTTCAATAATGTTGCCATGCTAAAATCTGTATTACTAGTTTCAAAATCATTAATAGCATACGTCTCCACTCTATCAGGAAGGAATAAGAAATCCAAAAGGAAAGACAAGAGCATGAGTCTATATGAATAAGGCGCTTCAATATATGAAGCTTCATATAGCCTGCACAGACACTCCCATACAGAGTTTCGTTAACTTTTGTTTCTTTCAGGAAGATTGACGCAAAATAACAAACAAGCAATGGAAATACCTTTCCAAGGCATCCGCAGGAATCCAGCATGTCCGTCCTAAATGGGTATTCCACTACCTGTACCACAAAAATATATTGAGAAAACAATGGTGTTCATCTAAACCCATTCTTTGAAAAAAACAACATATAGCCACTCACAATAAAGGTGTCTTCTCCAACAATAGCTGACTTGGAAATTTGAGCCATTAGTGTTCCATAATCAACTTGGGTGTATGGAGGTGTTACACTGATGTAATCAAAAGGTCCGTTACTACCTATACACAATCAAGCATTTCTGACGTTGGAAAAGAAATAAAATCAATGACAATTAGAAATTATCATGAATATGCAGTTGACGAATATGTACTTTCAGCGTCTGCTTTTGCAATAAAATTGGAATTTTTCTTTTAAAATATTTCAAAACATATACCTGTGTGTCCAATACATATTTAAACAAGGGCATAGGGGATATGACCCCCAAGGACCCTCTATATACATTGAAAAACATAGAAAAAATTAAACACACCGATATCAGATATATACTTGTATCCATCACTAACACCCAAGTCCAAGTAACATAGCTACACTTTTCATACATGCTCACCAAACAAGTTGGCATATTAGAATTTATAAGTTTTTCTTGTTGAAATTCATTTGCTCGTGATTGCTCACTAATCACAAGTTCCTTAAAGATCAGTGAAGTAAGAAAAGAGATCTGCAGAATCAAATTCTTGGATTTGTTCTCTCCTCTATGTTACCAAGTTTGATTTGCAAAAAAAAAATTCTAATTACCTAGACTCAACATAAGAAATTGAAGAAGAAGACACACCTACAAATTGGTCTGCATGTTCTAAGAAAGTTTCAACACGAACGGGATGTATAACTGAGATATCAAGAAACCCAGTACATTCCAGGTTTGGTCGCAGAACATTTGAAATAACCCAAGGATCCATCTCAACAAAATGCACCTATAGACCACAATCAAGCAGTATATTGGGTAAATAAACCATATTTTCATTAAAAAAAATATTGTAACAGATTCTTAGCATAATAAAAATGTCAAATTACTGTTTAAGTCTTTTTCAGGCTTTATGAGCTTAGAAATCATTGCATACAGTGTGACAAGATAAAGAGTAAAAAGTCAAAAATTGTACCTCAGAACATCCCCTGCTGATAGCTTCTATACCAACAGAGCCTGTACCACTGTAAAGGTCTAACCAGCGACCCAGGCGTAAAGAGGCAGGACAACCATCAGCTGCCTAAATTATGGTAGAATAAATCATTCTTAAAGAAAATAGCATAAAAAACCCTAAATCTCCCTAGAATCTGAGTTATAACAATCATACCGAACAAAGAAGCAAAAGCATTGGAATTTGGAACAACTTAAGATTAGGATTAGGAGGTTACAAAGAAGATATACGACCTGCAGTATATCGAAGGCGGCACCTTTTACAACTTCCATCATTGGTCTGACATCCATACCTTTAGGTGAGAGCAACTTCTTTCTTTTAGCATCTCCACCAAGAACCTATAACGTTCAATATGGTTGCTTTAATTAACTCCCATGAATAAGTCCATCTAAAACTGACAAGCAAACATTTATATAAACATGTTGAGCCTATAAAACTAGCTTGAACTGCGACACCATTTTCACACTCAAATTCAATAAGAAATCCTTTAGAACCATAAAGACAGACTTGACTGCTCCTCAAATGGTGGCAGTCAAATTGATTCTAAATTCTAATAAGATGTTCAAGTCCTCAAACAGCATCAAACAACCAACGTATATAACCATTTCTCTAATGCCTTAGTGCCACAGAAAGATATTTTATTTTCTGCAATAGTATGATAACATAAAAAAATCCTTGTTTTCATCCTTTAGAAAAATCAAAATGAAATCATGATTAAAAATAATGGCATGAAATTGGTACCTGAAGCAACTTATGAGTGGTTCTAGGGGGCTTTGCTTCCTCCTCTGCTACTATTTCGTTTACTTTTCCTTTCTTCTTCCCTTCCTTTTTCCTTTTATTCTAAAAAAACAATTAGAAAAAAATATCTAAAACAATAATCAAATATTCAAAACCCAATTGAACAAAAGGGGAAAATAATCTACCTTTTCCCCAGACAAGTACTCATTGGGATCAAAACCATATCTTTCACGCAGAATTCACTTGTCCTCAGCTGTCAATCCACTTCCTGATTCTGCAAAAAGAAAAACAACATGAAAGTCAAGTTTTGCTGTTAAAAGAAGGGAACTAAAGATAGAATTGGTGATAAAAAAAGGTGGGTTTTGCTTAACTGTAAGAAAAGAGGATAATGGAGGAGCCCTTTTTGGTGTTGGCGGATTTGGAGGAGATGTTAAAGGTAAGAGGATTTGCAGTTAAAAAAGAGATCTTTTTGCTGGTGTCATTGGTGTTAGAGTAGAAGTTGAAGTGTAAAGGAGAGAGAATTTGTGAGGAAGAAACAGCCATTTCGTTTTTGGAGTTTGAGTTTTCGGTTTCAATGGTTACGGAGTGAAGCCAGGAACCATGGTTCCTTGGGGATAAGGAAGGTTTTCCAAAAATAAATCCTCCTAGCGTTGGAAAATGGAAATCGTTGGATTCTTTAAAAAAAATTCTTAGTAATGGAAAGATTATTTTTTATGGATTAGTGGAAAGTTGATCTCGAATCCAAGGGTTTATATTTTATTGGATAAACTATTATTATTTATTTTTATTTCGATTATTGATTTTAAAGTTTTGTCAAACAAATTATTTAATCATTTAAATATATATATATATATATATATATATTATTGTCAAATAGTTAAAAATTTATTTTTATTAATTTAGAGATAAATACAAAATAATATTTATTTAAAGATAACTTTTAATCATTTGATATTCAAAATTCAAACTCTAACGTTCTTGGAGCGTTCACACTCCTGATAATAGATGGAACACATGATTTGTAATGATTAAGAATCTTTGAATTTATATTATCTTATATTTATCTAAAATTATTAAATAAAAAGTAATTAAATATGTCCATCAAATCAGTTAAATTTTAAATTTGAATTATAAATGACAATATTATTTATATAACTTATACAGTAAAGTACGAACCAAGTTACCTTAGTGGTTAATAAAATAGTTGTTATTCTCATAAGTCACGGATTCGAGCATTAGCGACTACAACAGGATGATCGAGGGTTCATTATCAAACGGTTGAGAGTCACAAATTCGAGCATCAACGGCTACAACAGGGTGATTGAGAGTTCATTATAAAATTATTGAGAGTATTTAAAACAGATAATACTTATAATTACTTTAACTTAATAAAAAATAATTGTACCGTTGATAATGTAAAAAAAAAGAAAAAGATAATAGTGAAGGTGGGATTAAAATCAGGTGTCAAGTAATTGGTCTGTTTTAACCTACGCCCGCGAGTCAAAATCTTGTTGCTTTTATAGTCGATCTTTTTGTCGTTTTGAGCTTCCTCCATTTTTCATTTTTTCTTCTCCAATTCATCATTTGAAATCTCTAATTTATTTCTCATCTCTTCATTTAAAACCCCTAATTCGCCCATGGCCGTGACAACGCACCATTTGACTTTACTTGGGGAAAATATTGGTTTTTCCGCCACGAACCCATCGTTTCCAGCCAAGATTCTATACTTATTTGTACATTCATAAGGTTTTAGCGATCATTCTTTGAATAGAATTGGCTACTTCATAAGCAGGGCTAGGGTTCATAAAGAAGTAAAAAATGTCCATACTTTTCCGTCCTCTAGCTGTTGTTCCATAGAACATGCTCATCTGATTCGCCAGAGCTACCGGAACAGGTTCATTCGTTAATTCGGCAAATAAAGCTGAAAACCACAGTAAAAATGGCTCCTTACATGTGGTTCCTTCAGGGCATATTACTAGGTCATCTTCTTGTAATAGTTGTTTTATAATCGAAGCGTCTGTGGCTCGATCACGACTGAGACGAACAGTTTTGAATGGGGGAGCAATGAGTTTGGAAAACCACGAGATACAGTAAGTAACCGCAGGAACCGGACGGCCTAAAGCAACGGCGAGAAAGCCATGGTCAAGAAGGGTTCTATGGGAGCAAGCGAAAAGGACTCCAGTTTGACCAATTGATTTTTTAGCTGGTGGGGGCGGGGTGCCTTTGATGTAAACTCTTACACAGTGCCCATAAAGCATAGTAGACTAATGGCATTGGGATTGGGAGGAGGATGCAGAAGCAAATGCGCAGGCAAGCGAGGAAGAAACCGATCGGGATCCAAAGAATGGTGACAAGTGCCATTAATGGGGTTTGCCTTTTAACAAGCCGGCCATCATGAAAAACCACTGCTTTTGGCAATTTGTAAGGATTTACCGGTTCAACATTCTTTGCCGAAACTACGTAATTTTCTGCAAATGAAAAAAAAATCATTGTTAGGGAAAATAGATCGAATTCTTCCAGGATGTACGTAATGTTATATATATATATATATATATATATATAATATGTATATTAGAAGTATTTATGATTTAGATCAAATTAAAATTTTAACACCTGAACCTGTCCTATATTTATTATGTGACTGCACTCATACGAGGTTTTTGTGGAAGATGATTGTGTTCTGCCACCATAACCCCTAAATCCGACCTAAAAGAATTAGGTCGAATACTCTACAATAAAATTTATCCCTTACGAAATTTATTTGATTTCAAACTTAAAATTTAATTTTAAAATTTTGAAAACATTCCACAAGTTCAAACTTCACATATCTTATTAAAAATAATTGTATGAAGAAAACTCGACATAAATGATAAATATTCATAAATTCATGCACTAACGGTTAAAAAATAATTGAAATTTCCGAAGTATCAAACTACATAAATACTAATAATCCCAAAATAAAATTACAAATATAAATTTGAATAAAATTTCATACTCAAAATAATAATTTCCTGAAAATAAATGATGAAACAATTCAAATACCGGTTCACCTAATTTTGAGTATCTTAAATAAAAACTGTAGGGTTGTACGCTATTAAACTTAGCGTGTCTCTAAAGTGTAAAAAAACACTAGTCATGACATAATATGAAGCAACTAATATTATTCATAGTCTGAAGCAAATAATGATAACCAAATATTTAAATGTTATGCAAATGCTTATGCACTCACATGTACTCCTATCACACCATATGAAAGTGGATTCCCCAAAACCACACTATCTATAATCAAATCACACCATATAAGTGGGGTCGACCACAAAGGCAGATGCCACAAAATCTGAAAAACAACATTCAACTCGTCAAGTGAATGCACTAAACTTCATCTATCAAAATTCGTCCCAATATGACATGCAAATGACATACATATCCGATATCCGATCTGATCCAAATAGTACATATCCGAACAACATATACTCGAATATTATATATCCGTATTTCGATCTGATCTGATCCGAATGTAATAATTACATATACAAATAATCCGAATACATCTCATAAATTTTTAGTCCAACATATCAACTTATTTCACATAACATACATTTCCAAATTATTATAGATACAACAATATCACAAAATTCACCATGCTCAAAATCAAACTTCTAATCAACATGCTTATATGAATTATAATTAATACAACAATAGCACAATACAATCATGCTTCAATCAATTTTTCAGTCAGACAAACAATCAATCAACATAATATAGCACCGGTCAGAGACACACCTCGACGAATAGCTAACGACAGTCACAACCCCTATCAAAATCAACTTGAGTAGTGAATCGAACCGAATTAGTTCCTACAAGATAGTTAATAATAATTTTTTACCTAATTTAACAACAAACCAAGTATAAAGCTAAAGTAAAATCTAAAACTCAAAGTCGGTTCTTACAAAATGAGTCAGTTCAAGATTAGCAGGTAATGATGGTGTTGGGGAAATCAGGTTATTTCCCACACGAACGTAGTTTCAAAATTGATCTAAAATGTCAAGATCAAAACCACCAAAGGTTGCACATCGGATAAACCCGTCAAACTATTGAATATTGAAACACAATGGAAAAACTGAATAAAAACAATAAAGGAGAGAGCACACCAAATTTACGAGGTTCGACGAGAATATCGTCTACTCCTCGGGCACCATACCGGATGATAACTTCACTAACAACAAATATTACAACAAATGGAAATCTTTAAAATTCCCAAAGTGAGAGAATGAAGAAAACAAGAGGAAGAGAGAACTTGTTTTGGGATGATTTCTAATGAAATACTTAGGCCTATTTATAGTTGAATTTTAAGGACTAAACTTATAAATAACCTAATATTTTAGGGACCAAAGATGAAAAATAAGTTGGCCACCTACCAAAGAATTTTTCAATGTGTACAAGTTAGCCACCAACCAAAGATGTCAACTTTGCCAACTTTCAATTTTGCCAACTTTCAACTTTGTCAACTTTCAATTTTGCCAACTTTCAACTTTGCTAATATTTCAAGTCAAACATAACAAATCTCCACCTTGGCTTGAAATTACTAAGCCTACTTAATTTCTTCAACTCCCCAAATTTCATAAAGCTCTTTTAATGTAGTGCCTCTAATTGCGCTCACAAGCGCCATACACCCGAAGGTGCTCAAACTTTCAAGATGTTAATCAAGTTTAAACAATAATTGAACTTGATTACTGTTACCACCTTGGTCATCATATCTGCAGGATTTTCTGATGTCGCAATTTTCTGAAGTATAATATTTCATTCTTCAAAGATCTCCCGCACAAAGTGATACCTCACGTCGATATGCTTAGTCCTTGAATGGTAGACTTGATTTTTCGCTAAGTGAATAGCGCTCTGACTGTCATAATAGAGATTAATGTGACTTTGAACAACTCCCAAGTCTTCCATCAACCAGTTAAGCCAAATTGCTTCATTCACAGCTTCTGAAACTTCCAAGTATTCTGCCTCTGTAGTAGACAAAGCCACCGTAGATTGCAAAGTAGACTTACAACTTACTAGGGCTTTAGCAAGAGTAAACAAATACCCAGTAGTTGATCGACGCTTATTCAAATCACCAGCATAGTCGGAATCAACATATCCAACCACACACTGACCAAGTGTTTCATCCTGTTGAAAAACTAAACCAACATCCACGGTTTGTTGGAGATACCGTAGAATCCATTTAACAGCTTGCCAATATCCTTCTCCAGGATCATGCATGTACCTGCTGACAACTCCAACTGCTTGTGAAATGTCAGGACGCGTACACACCATTGCATATATCAAGCTCCCAACTGCATTAGCATGTGGAACTTTTTCTATATACTCTCGTTCTTCGTTAGTTTTAGGAGATAATTGAGAACTAATTTTCAAATGAGAAGCCAGTGGGATACTTACATGTTTGGTATTTTCATTCATGCCAAAACATTGTAATACATTTCTCAGATATTGTTTTTGTGTTAAACAAAGCTTCCCTCTCTGTCTATATCTGCTTATCTCCATACTAAGAATCTTCTTGGCCTCACCTAGATCTTTCTTCTCAAACTCATGATTCAACTATTTAATTTTTCTATCTCCTTTTGACTCTTTGAAGCGATCAACATATCGTCAACATACAAAAGA